CAATTCTCAAACTTTCTATACAACAAATGTATGTACCTCCACACATGTACCTATCGACCAAAGTTGACCATTAAGATAGCTATTATACTGCAAACTGAGGGATCCTGTGTTTTCTGAATCGCCAAGACCCTTGTTACTACATTTTAAGCATATTTCTCTTATTAGAAATCATAGCAGTCTTCAGTTTTAAGTGCTTTAAAAAGTTTTATTTCGTGCTTAGAATAATAGTATAAAATTATTATACATCCAGACACTTCAATGATAGAATATTTAACATTCTAGAAAGATCTTTAAAGAAAAATGATACGTTATGATACGATGAATCTGGTGAATTCCACAGCAAAAGAACCTAGATATAAGGGGGAATCACAGAACCCTAATGAACAGGCACCATCCAAGTATTTACGGTTTTTCTCCTGCTTGTGGCTAATATAAAACCTCCATTGCCCTCTCCCCTTCTTTCCTCTGAAGTGAAAAACTTTGTGTCCTAATTCATTACAGTGTAAAAATCCATCTAATGTTCCAGCCTGTTGATCTCCACCTGTCAACTACTACACATAAGTCAAGAAAATAGAGTTTGTCCTTTCAAGAACATGTATTCTGAGTCAAAAACACCACATATAGACTTTATCAAGAATTTCCTATATATGGGGACAAAAATACATTGAAAACACCTATTTTTTTCCTGAGTAGAATGCAAATATTTTTTTTCTATCAAATTAAGTTCTGTGAACTTTTAAAATATAAGGCTTTGTTCCATACCACCAAATAAAAATCAGGAGTGTTCAACTTCACCTTGAATTTAAAAAGAAAACAGTTCAGAGACTCAAGAATAATGTAAAAATCTGAGATGAGTGGTCAAAATTTTAAATATTCTGTAGATGTTTGATTAGGTATCTCAATAATGTAATACTTGGACCCTTCAATGTTTAGGATCCCAAGTATCTCAGTAATACATAGTTGGATCCTTCAATGTTAAGGATCCCTCAGTACACTTTATCAATTTGAAACAAAAATTAAAAAAGAATTATCAAAAGAGGGGGGGGAAATTCCAGATAATTATTTGCCATTTCATTTGGAAAATTTAAAAAAGTAACATAAGACAAAAGAGGTAAAACCATAGACTGAGCAGAGAGAAATAAAGCAGGCAGCCATTACCCTTTATAGGAACCAAAACACCACTACGGACTTAAAAAAGCTGCCTAAATAAGCAGTATATCTTGTATCAGCATCATATGTAGAAAATAGCAATTAAAGGTAGTTTTTATTAGTTGCATAATCTAAAAGACAAAAATTGACTATATCTCTAAAAACATCAGAGTTGACAATGAAATACACACTTGAGACAATGGGCAAAATTCCCATTTATGGGAAGTATGTTCTTTTTTTTTCACACAGTGAAACTAAGAAAAATTATATCAAATGAGAAATCTTTTTCTCTAAAGTAAATTCAGTATTATCTCTTCTTAAATAACAATGCAATACTTGGAATATGTAAATTCTCAACTTAGGCTTGAAACCAATTATTAAATAAACATACTCAAATTTTATTGCTTGGCACCAGATTTTTCAAAGATCAAAGAATTGTTTAACCGCCATGCTGTTTATAAATTGTTATTTCAAACATCTGTATCTAGTGCTATTTTTATTTTCTGAAGGTAGACTGTTCAATCTAATGACAATCTAGATGGAACCCTGCAGTGTACAGTCACAGTTCACTCTGAACAAAAAGAAATTATTAATCTTCTGTTTTTGCCAAAATCATTAATATTAAGACATATGTAAAAATAACTACGATTTATCTGTGGCCAGTGATTGGCCCACAGATCTTTGTCTTATGGCATTCTCTGCTAAATCTTTGTTTGTTCCTTCTGTACTTTCAACTTCTTCTTCTGAAACATCTTCGTCAGTTTCTTGTTCTTCCTCCACTTTTTTCAAAAGTTGAGAAGATTCTGGTAATAATTTTTCTAAAAAACAAAAGACCAAAAAACTTGTTTTTCTTAACATATCAAATTCACATCAGAGTAAAGTCAAGATACAGTCAGAGTGTAATAATAATTTATATGTCATAAATTGGTTTTCATGTTAGAATTTCTTAGAAAATAAAAGATGGCTTTGAAAATTTATTCTAGTTTTATAAATTTATTCTAATTACCTACCTATTTATAAGCTGAACTAAAATGAATGAACCAGTATTAACACTGTAATGTGTTTTAAGAAAACAGTGCATTAGACATAAGTATATTTATAATAATTTGATATTAAATCCTTTTAAAGTATAGTGGATTGAACCTCAACAATACCCTTGTTTCACTTACTGGAGGACTATGAATGAAAGCTGTATACACGCACAATTTTTTAAAACTAGTTTCAGTGTATTAATGTATAACTACACAATACACTGTAAAAATACACAATACACTGTATAAATTTATACACTGTATAAATCTTAGCTAAAGGAATTTTTAAGTAGGTACACATACATTTCTCTTTTTTACAGAGCCTACTGCTAATTAGATTTGGAGTACACAATGTTACTGAGACACATAAGATAGAACTAGGCCAATAAGCTTTATCTGTTCACTGATCCCAGTCTGCTCCTAATCCTGGATAATCCAGAAGAAATGGGGGAGAAAGGTTAAAGTGGATTGTGGAAAGAAATCACCACATGCTAGACAATCTGTTGTTCGTCTGCCAAGCAACCCTCCTCCTGGTGGATTCATAGCCTCTCTCTTCTTAACCCCGATCCTATGTGAATGATACCATTTACAGCAGTGGTGTTTGCTTCCACTTCACCCCCATATCCCTGAACACTTGGAAATGTCAGAAACTTTTGTCACCTTTTTTTCGGGGGAGGGGAAGGAGTACATTTAGGCAGCAAAACTCCAGTTACAGTGAACAATCTAATAAATGAGTCCCTTTACTTAGACAAAGACAAACAGAATTCCTTCAAAAGTAAGAGAAAGCACACTGCCTTCCTACTGGAAGATGAAGAGTTTTGGCTTTCTAAAATCATCATATGCTACTAGTGTTAAGACTGCACCCTGTCAAAGGTAGAAAACCTGCACAGCCCAGAAAAACAAGACAATTCCATCACGTTCTCACTTCACCAGGATTCACTGTACAATCCTTGATCAATCAGGGTCAGTGAAGAGGACAGGGCACATCATTTATAGCTAACCCTTGAACACCACAGGTTAAGAAATGCGCACACACCGGAAACAAAGACAAACTGCTTGTGGAGATGAGCAGGATCATACAGGGACACTAAATACACTTGTATGACCTTATTTATCAACAAAAAGAAAACCCTCATATAAACAAAACAGTTCAAACCTGTACTGTTCAGGGTTTGACTGTACTTTGCTTCCAAAACATTAAACCTAGCAAATTTAAGTAATGTGTGTTGGGTTTCCCCCCCCCTTACAAAAGGAGCTGAAGGAAAAAAGAATTCTCTCTTTCAGGCACGTCAAAGAAGTGTTGGTGATACAGTGTTTTAACCCTCAACAGTTAAATGAAAGGCTGGCAACTTGAACCCACTAGTAGCTCCACCAGAGAAAGACATGGCAGCCTGCTTCCATAAAGATTTTATACCTATTTCATAGCCTTTAAACCCTATGGGGCAGTTCTACTCGGTCCTACAATAAGGTTGCTATGAGTTGGAACAGACGCCACAGAAATCAGTGTTTTTATATATGCTAATATTTTATTTTTGTTTTCATATATGCTAACAACTATTTTGAAAATAAAAAGACAATCTATTAGTCATTCAACAGACTAAGTACAGTATAAATGCAGTCTTATCAATTTTATTTCAGAAGGTTTAACCTCAATAGATTCTAAGTTATTAAAGGCAATGTAATGAAATAAATATTAAGTCTAGTTTATAGTCAACTTTCAGTTCTGTCATTGTAGTGTGATTTGCAGTGCATCAATGGGCGTTATCAGAGATAATGCTCACACAGGACAGGCCAGGGTTATTCAAAGAGTCACTCTTAGTAGTACTCAACAGCACCTAACAACAGTGTGACTTGGGGAAAATACTGCCTCTCTCTGGAACTTAGTGAACTGTGACCCAAAATGGGAGCAGCATTATCTACTTCAGAGAGCTGACGAAATGGGAAAACTAAGTGAATGTCCTTTCCAAACTGCAAAGATGAGGACTTCCATTACAGCTAATTCCAAGATCAAAAATGAGTAAGTAATCATATTAAGACAGAAAGTAGTAATTGCTTCTAATTACATGAAATTAGTTATGATAAAATGTCAGTGCTGACCTGCAATCAGCTATGGCAGTGGCTTTTCTAACTGTAAAATTAAAAAACCTCACCACCTCTCTCAAATATGGCTGGCATTCAAATAATCCTTATCAAACATGTTAACTTTAGTAATGAATAACTCCAAAGAGTCAAATTATTGCTGCCAAGTTGGATGCTCCAGCAAGTTTTCAGAGGCTATAAATCGTATGAGAGGAGACTACCCATCTTTCTCTGATGGAGCTGCTAGTGGATTCAAACCGCCAAGATGCACAGCACAATTCTCTACAGACTATGCCACCAGAACTTTCTGCGTCAAAGGGTTGTTTTCAGATGTTTTTGAGTATGACTCGTAGCAACCGTATAAACAGATCTGAACCCTGCCCCATCCTGATCAATCATCCCCAACTTAAGACATCGCTACAGTCCCTGTATCATCCATCTCGCTGATGGTCTTCCTCTTTTTAGCTGACCTTTCCAAGCATGATGTCCCTTTCCAACAAACAGCCTCTACTAACAACATGTTCAAAGTACGTGAGGTGAAGCTTGGCCATCCTTGCCACTAAGGAGTACTCTGGTTGCACCAAGTGAACATGACAATTACAAACTGATGGCAGATCAATATATTATTTAATACCTACAAACTATGTGCAATACTTAAATTATCCCTATCATAAAAATCAAGAAAATCATAATGTCCAAAAGCCACGAGTTTATCATTCCGATGTGACATATCTATCATGCTATAATTAAGAACCTAAGATAGGGGAGCAACTTATTATATATATAATTGGTTCACAAAAATAAATGAAGCTATAGTGAATAATTGGTTCACAAAAATAAATGAAGCTATAGTGAATAAAAATGAACATTAAAAAGTATACTTACTTGATGGGTATGGTTGTGGTGGCCTGCGCCTTTTTGAAGGACAAAGGCAATCTGCCACAAATATCATACACTACAAAAGTAAATATTGGAAGAAAGTTACACATATAGTTTAATTATTATAATTGTATCAAGTTATTAACTTTTAAAATTCTCTTTTACCCTATTACTTTGAAAGTGAAGTAACTTACAAGTCCTAGCAACAGTCCTGAAAGCAACGTTGCTAAAGCAAAAACAGTGTATGATCCCCACACAGGGAGTCCAAGGTCTTCAACCAAATAGTTATGACAAGTCTAAAATGAAAATATATTTTAAAAAAGCAAGTAATTTTTAAAGGCAACACAGTTCCAAGGATGCTTAAAACAGAAATAAAATTTTAATTCATACCCTGATCCACATAGATAGCTGAAAGAGTGCTGACATACTACTCATCCTAAAATAAAAGAGATATTGAAAAATCAAGTAATTAGCTTTTAAATATACTTTTTATTTATATCTCATTTATAAATTCCAATACAAGATTTTTAAGCCTGATCTTAAGGCTATTAAAATATTACTGGTAATTATTTCAAAAATGTTTGCTAATGAAAAAGTACTAAAAAGTTCCAAAATTACTACTATGCAAATAACTCGCAAATAAAATACTTTCCCCCATTCTGACATGATCAGCCTTTCTTTGAACTGAACTTTTCTAAGAATCCACAACAAAAAAACAGTAATCAGTTTAATTATCCAAGGTATATCCTATCTTATTTTCCTAAGGATGGGTTAATATGCAGATTTTGCCTTTAACTAAGTGAAAATAAAAATTTCCCTCTGATCACTGCTGACTACTCAGAAAGGGATCACAACAGAAGGTTCCTGAAGAGTTGAAGAAAAATTGTGTAATGAAATTCAAAATCACCTAAAACTGGTGGAGCTCATAAGACTTTAGTCACCTTTCAAGCTTTGAATAAAACCATGCTTGTGACTAAACTTTCAGCTAAACAGCAGACAGGCCAATAGGTGGCAGATAACATGAAAAAGGAACACATTCTTTACAATAATCAACCAATCAAGATCAGATGGATACCCAGGGATAAAGTCCAGAAGGCAGGAAACAATGAATGGAAATGGGACACATAAGGTGGAAGTAGGAAGGATGCTGTTAAAAGGTGAGGCTAAGTATAAGCAAGTAACACTGTAACATGCCCAATGAATGAGCAGAAAAGGGAGCGCGAGGAAGAAAATCACTAACCCAGGAGAAAGGAACTTAGAACATTTGAGCCACCAATCCTTTCCACTTAGACTACCAGCAATTTCTTTCCAACCTGGTATTTTACGCAGAGGCACAAAAGAGCCTCCTGGGATGTTGGAAATGTTCTCGATCAGACGTACAGTTCCTAATTCTTAACAGGATTAGCTATGGTGGTTAGGTAGGTAAGTTCTAAAAGCTAAAGGACAATTCAATTTAGGGAGTTTTCTCAGGAAGAAACATGCCAAGAAAATATGCTATAGATAAAACATCTTCAAAATAGGATTTACCTCCCAGAAGCCAGGATATTATTTCTTAAATGACTGATGTCTCAACTGCGTATCCTCCAAGGGTTAGTGTGGTGAGGAGACAGGAAGAAGCCAGCCAGCCACACCAGGTTAAGCCCTAACGGACCGCAGCAAAACTTGGTATTTCAGATGACCTGCACAGCCTCACACAAGAGCACAGCGGAAAACTCACTTGCCATTTTATTTCCTATTGTTCCAGAGAAATTTTAATGATCAGAATCAGGCAGGGTTTTGTTCAGCTATACAAGGGGCCACTAAGAAATGGAGCTCCAGTCAAACAGCTCCTAACAGCAAGAGCTATCTATGAAGCTCAGTGATAAGTCCTGTCATTTAGGGTCACTGTCCATACTTATACCCAGGGAAGTTATGAGACAAGTGGAATAATCAATCAAACATCTAGAGCTAGGGGAGCTCTGGTGGCCTAGAGGTAAGAAGCTGCGCTGAAATCCCAGAAGCGCACGGTTCAAATCCACCAGATGCTCTGCCGGGAAAGGAGGGACAATCTCCTCCTGTACCAGTCAGATCCGATTTGACGGTACACATACACACACACACAAAATAATAATTAAAATATCTAGAGCTAAAATCAAAAGTGGCATGAATGAATAAACACGCCTTCAAATTCAAGTCTGTTTTACACTGCTCACACTTGTATTAGAATTACGTCTCTTTGGTGATGTATATGAACATACCTAAAAAGCGGGGAAAAAGAAAAAACGGCTTAAAGGGGATTCAATTAAATTTCACTGAATGTCTCTTTCTAAGCCAAGGCTAAAAGTTATTGTTTTGATCTTATATGTAAATATTAGTATGTAACAGATCTAAACACAGGATAAGATCTCAAATTGTGCCCAAATGCTTTATTTACTTGAAGTAAATGATGCTTCAATGAATTCTGAGAAAAGCATTTATACTCACAGAACGGAGCCTGGACCAAACCATGATGAAACGGGTTCAATGCTCTTCCACTCTTTGTCACTTATGAAGTTGATGAAGTCCTTCTTTGTCCTTGGGCCCTGATAACGCCTAAATTCACCATCTTTGCAACTAAAGAGGATCAAAGTAAAAATAACCAGCGTCTCATAAGTAATAGATTTTGTTTCCCTATTCCTCCACCTGATTTTACAGTCAATCCTAGCAGTTATAATCACTTGCAGTGCATAGTGGCAAACTGTACTGATTATCTACTCGTGGCATCTTTGTTCTAAATTTAATAAATGAGTTTACATTCTTAAACAATAATAATCCTTCAGATTTTATCATTACTCTTATAACCATGGAATATAAATAAGTAAATAAATCATCCAAAGTCTTACATAATTTATTAAAGGAACTACTACATGAAAATTGGTTAGAATGGTACATGGCACATATCATTAGCTATTGACTTACTGCTGACCCTCCATTAGCTTTTCTGTGGCAGTGAAGTGCTTGGGAGGAGATTATCCATATTTTTCTCAAGCAGCTGATGGATTCAAACTGCATGGCTTTGGGTTGCTAGCACAACTCCTTACCAGTAAGCCACCAGGTTAGCTATTGCTGTTGTTGAACACTGTTGAATCAAAACCAACGCATAGCTGATTCTCCAGTGGGAAGTTTACCCATCTTCCTCCCACAGAGAAACTGGTGGATTTGTATGCATGCCTTCAAGTTGGCAGTGCAGCTCCTTCCCACCAGCACTCCCTATTATCAGCAACTACTAGGTTAAGCAACCGACATCCTATCACCGCAGCCACCGCACTTTAAATCCTCAGTCACCTGGCACAGTGCTTACATTCCACTCCTTACATTCACTTCCTCCTGTCCATCCCCAAAATACAGAGTTCAAGCTCACGGCTACAAGATTCTCCTGCCTCTCACACCTCTGCCATTTCCACAACACCCTAAATAATACATCTTGTCTAATCTTACTTAACACTTTTATCACTTAAGTGCAGTTTCCACAGGTCCCTACCATCTATGGTAGGACTGAGCTCTTACCCAGCCAGAGCTAAAGACCACAATGAACATCTATGTCCCCTAAAAAAGGTTTTGTAGAGGTAGCATTTGGTGAGCTCTAAGGACAGATAAGATTTCAAGAAAAAGGAAGGTCATGGTAACCAATGTAACTAAAACCAAAGGAACCGGAAATTTCAAAAAGTTCAGGGAGTGGTGAGAAGTGCAAAGAAAGGAGGAGGATTGATGACAGTGAGTGAAGAGGTACATGAGGTAAAGTACCAAGTGGCAAAAGAGAAAGAAGCATTCGTGGAGAAAGACCAGAAATAGGTAAGAAGAGAGACCCAGATTCAAACATCTGAAAATAAATGACAATATAGGTGATGCAGATACACATGAAGAAGTACCAATTTACATCTTTTAAAGGAGATTAGATGTATGCCTATATTGGTAATTAACCCATTAGCTATATGACATTAAAGTCCGGGGAAGGTACACAGATCTGAGGTTTCACTCTTAAGAAAAACTGAATGACCTGATGCTAAAGATGTCATAATCTTCTTCATTCTGACTTAACAGGTAACGAAATCACTCATTACTCCTCCCAAGGATGGGCCAAGACATCTTTATAACTATTTCCTGAACTCACAAAGTTTTATTAATCACTTATTTATTAAATTCTCTAGAATGGAATAGCTACCTTTCACTCTTAAAAATTTTGCTCTACACTTCTAAAGCTGTATTAAATGTCATGTTCTATAGAAGGGACTAAAAAACAAACAGCTTTGGAAAAAAAATTAAATGCCACTTTCTCCTAAAACTGTTAAGAGTCTACAGTTATTTCTTCCTACTTTATCTCTTACTTAAGAACTTAAGAATTTATACCTCTACTTCAAGTTCATAATCACTAGTGGTATGGAGTTGTCTGTCAACACAAAGGCAAGCAGTTCGAATCTACCAGGTGCTTCATGGGAGAAAGATAGGCAATCCTCTTGCACAATTTACAGTCTTAGAAAATCAAACTGAGGATCAGTTATGAGCTGGTTTGAAACTCAAAAGCACATAACAACTCCATGATTAACCTCCCCCCTTTCCCTGCACATCCTCATCCCTCTGCTTCCACCCTTCCCCCACCCTCTTGGATCCTTATATTCATTCTACAATAATGGTTTTATGTATTATTTGTCCTTGTAGGACTGAGTTACTTCACTCAGCATAATGCTCTTCAGTCCCTCTCAAGTTAGGTAATAATTTATAAAATCATTGCTCCTGCTGCATGTAGTTGTACCATTTGATGGGGGGGGGGGGGAGGGAAATTGAAAAAAGAAATCTGTTCTAGAAAACAATGTATTCAAATTTTGTAAATAAACTAGTAAAATAAAAAAGCGCCTAACAATAAAAGCAGTATTCTATCATTTCATGTAAATGTCACTATCCAAAATAACCACAAAGCTTTTGTGAGCAGATGACGATATAGATATATACCAACTTTAAGAACAAAATCAGCCCTTTTAAATTCCTGATGAAGAGAGTGACGGGATCTCAATTCTTCTAGTCTAAATCAAAGGACTGCTATTGTGAATATATGCACCCTTCCCTGTGACCATGTTGCTGTTGTGTACGGTCGCTGATGCTCCAGTGGGTTTTCAGAAGCAGTTAACCACACAGTAGAATGCCCATCTCTCTCATACAGAGCAGCTGGTGGAGTCAAATTGCATATACTTTTGCATTAGAAGCCCAATTCTTTACTACTAAGTTGCCAGAGCTCTGTAATTGCTGTATCTTCAAATACTTACTGATAAATAGTAGGAAGGGCAGTTATTATAAATCGTCCACTCAGTCCTACAAAAAGACACAAAGGCTTTTAGAAATACAAGAACATGTGCGGGGAGAAGGGTGCAACAATGAATGAATGGAATTCCAAAATCTCTG